CTAATGCTATCCATGGACGATGAAGCTAATTTATTAATCCCCTTCATTAATCCTGTCCATACTGAAAACTAGTACTTTATAAAGCATGAAAGCAGTCTCAATTGCCAATTTAAGTACAATATAACTAAACAACAATTATACGAGCTGGTTGAATTAACATGAGAATTATTCAAAAATTTGGTGTCATGTTACCCACTAAACATGACGCCAAGCAAAAATGACTGATTAACTTATTTGGCAAATCCTCTTCTACCAAACATATACGGACTGATAGGAATTGGTCTTGAAAACCAATTTGTAAGCCAAGTTGTGAATATTATAGACTGTACCCCCACGACGAGCTTATGCTCATAAAAATTACCATCCTCTTTCACAAATCTACATGAGAACACGTACCGGTGGCCACAGGTCATGCACATGTAGGGCCTATAATAGCCCTCGCCCGCAAGGCTGCCTCCAGCCGAGTCGGAGGGATTGGCATCGGTCGACTCTCCACCGCCTGCCATCAAAGGATTGCTCTCTCCGCTTAGGCCTCCTCTGCTTCCGCTCAGTCCGCCCGGCCCCGACTCGCGGTCGCACTGGTCACCTGCGCCCTGGCAACCGTCCTGACCGCCCTGAATGAGGCTTGACGCCAAGCAGCCCGAGTTTTCAATACTCTGGCCAGAACTGCAATGGCTGTCGGCCGAGGCTGGTCGTTGAGTACGCCGAGAAAGCAGGCGATTTAGGTAGTCGTCCAGAGTGGCTTTCGCCTCTTCAAGATTCATTGTGATTGTGACGATATTCTTACGCTCCGGATGCGCCACCTGCAAACGTATGAGAGGACGATAGACTGTAAATAGCATTAATTAATTTAGGTGTCACTTAAAGACTGACATATAATATATGTTATATATATATATATATATATATATATGTTAGATATATATGTACATATATTATATATCAATCCTTAGGTGACACCTAAAGTAACTATATATATTTATTTTTCGAAAGGTTACCAACTAGTCGAATTGCCAAGACTTCCACTCGGAACCAGAGCAGAAAACTATATCAGATCTTGAATCACTTTACACGTCCTAAAGTAGATATCAATTATAGATATTCTCGAATAGAGTGAATAGAGAGAAAGTGAGGTTTGTAAATTTGCTTCAACGAAAACAGAAAGAGTTATGACTGGATTTGTGGGAAACAAGTCGTCAGAACATCATTCTGCGACTCCGAACCATCCTTTTTGAACTGCTGTCTGTAATGGCGGGGCAAAATAAAGCGATTCTCATCCAGTTTCAAGTGTGGCAAATTTAGTAATCACTTTCAGAATAAACAAAATAGACAAAACAATATCCTGTCACCAATTAATCTTTGCTGAGCAAAAGTCCCTCATATGACGGACCTTTATCGGTTTAGTGTTTTTCGGTGAGCACATACGCCTTTTGAAACGAAGCAGGAGACCACGCGAATGTATACTTATTGTTACTATAGGCCCGGAAACCCAGTTCTACCAGCCATACCACGGCAGAAAAGCCCAGTTGGCTGGCTTTCAGACCCACCTTGATGTGTTTGTTGATGTCCCACTTCCAGTTGGAACGATGTCCACATCCGGAGCACTTGAATCGTTTCCACTGCTCCATATTGTTGCCGACAGCACCAGACATTGACGCCAAAGAGCCCTGTGACCCTGACGACGCCCCGGAGCTTCGGCCGGATGCGGGAGTCACCTTATCAGTTGCTGAGGAGTAGGGTACAGCAGACTCGTCGCTCTTACGCGGTAGGCAGGAATAGCTGCATCGAGGCGGTCCTGAAGAAGAGTGGCCGAGCAGAAGCGAACTCCGCCGGCGGGCATGCAGCGTTGGCCTGGCCGGGTGTCGTACCGATTGTCCAACCTGATTGGTCTGAATGGTCTGATTGGTCTGATTGGTCTGATTGGTCCCGGGCAGTGGTGACGAGGGTGGACAGGAGAATCGGGCAAGCTGACGAATTGGCCCAACAGTTTCGTCCAGCCTGTCCGGACCGGCCCCACGGACCGTGTGTCTGGTCGCCTCTTCTTGACCCAGGCCGATACGTCCCAGTCCCGGCAGATGGCCCTCCGAATCTGGCATCAGCGAAGTCTGCAAAGGAACCGACAGCGCGAGGGGCGGTGGTGAAGCATTCATCGGTCCGAATCCCGCCACATCAGGCACAGAAGACGACTGCCCAAGTGGTTGGTTAGCAAGGGAGAAGAGCACTTGTGGATAGGCTGTCGGATTGGCCGCGTGAGCCTGGATCAGGCTTTTGAACACCATCTGACGCAAAAGGCTGTAGCCGTCATTGGCGACTGGCTTGGCCCCTGTTGCCAAGACGTCATGGTAACCAGACGTGGGGTCTACGGCCAACCCTGCATGTGTCTGAACGCTAGTCGACTGCGACATGTCCAGAGGGCCGGGCGAAAAAACGTCAGGCTCCGACAGAAGCCGAGAGCCGAGAAATAAAAGAGATGGTGGTGCCTGCGGATGAGATGGAAGCTCCGAAAACGTCGTCATGGGCAGCGGCGAAGGACCAGAAGAAAGACAGATAGACGAAGTTGACATGGGGATGAGCTTGAGAGCATTCGAAACTGTACCACCAGAGCAAAGATCAACCAGAGGCTGGTTGGGCAATGGAGGCGACGGGATGACTGATGGCGCCAAAGAGGCGGTGTGCGGCGCCTGTTCTGGGGGCAAGTGTGTGCTGAGTGGTTGGGGCGAACCGGAAGTAGGTGAGTGACCAATCAGGCCGATCGATTCGAGGCCTGGAGACAATCCGGCGGCGTGTGAAAAGCGATGGGAGAAGGCCGATGGTTGATGCCTCGAGGCGACTGGCGGAGTCGAGGATGCCGAGGGCGAAGAGGACGAAGAGGAGGAAGATGAGGCGGAAATGTAAACACCCGCTGGTCGAGCAGAGCGGACCGGTTCGTCTTGCTTTGTCGGCAGACCTTCGTGGGTCGCCAGCCTGCTTGAGCAGTGCAACGCCGCCTCTGTGACGGGTGTGGCGGAAGTGGGACTCGACTCAAAGTCGCCAACAGGGCCCAAACATGTGGACAAGCTCGAGAAACCGACGGCAGTTTCGTCAGTCAGCAGAGGCCCAGCAAGGTTGGTCGGTATCACAGATGAAAAGGGAAAGAGCCCGAGTTGACTGGCCTAAAAGCCGAGGAGGCAGTTGGGTTGTGAGAAGCAGTTTATAAAATTTCGATTGCCAGGAAAGGCATTTTCAGCTCAAAAGCATTCATGTAGAAAAGTTTTAGTTAAAAAAAGCAAACTTTGGATGCTGCACAAAAAATATTTCCTCTGTATGTATCTGTATGAAAATGAATGCTTTCTATCGCAGTAATCTAACTCACGATATACGCTATTTTCATTTAATCACAACAGCCTACCGGTATGTCGTTAATAACCAGTTTATCGCTGGAAAGGACAAATAGTTAAATAATATTGTCAATAAATTTTGCAAATGGTGTGGTTAATCTCGAATCTGAGTCTTATAAGTAATAAAAATTCATGCAGTATCATCTTTACCATGCAATGGCAGACGAGTGAACAAACAATATAAACGAAGAAAATGTGGATTTAGAACAATCTTTTGAGAAAGGATGGATGATTTTCATTACATGTGGAAGTACATGATGAAGAGGCTCGTAGGTCAATCTCTCCAGACTAGTCAAGTCCAGTCAAGTTTTCTTGTTTTTACAAGGCTTTTACAAGAATGAGTCCCAGATCTAAAGATGTTCATCACATGACGAAGGAAAGCTCAGCCCACCTTCATCCGAAAAGTTGGAGGATGTCTGAATTACTGGATCAACCTGAACGTCGTCGAACTGCCAAACGGCTGTAGTACAAGGCGAATCAGCAAATGTCTTCTGGTGAGATTGACCTACGAAGCTCTTCATGAGTTCCACACGAAATGAAAGCCTTCACATCAATCAAGCAATATAATCAACTCAAGCTGAACAGAAACAAATACGCACAAACAAGCGTATTCAAAAAAAGATTAAATAAGACATGCTGTCTGTCTTTTTTCTGCATAAAATTCGTCTGGCCTCGCTATCGCATCTAAATGCGGTATCGGGAAGACCACGAAAAGTGTACCTCGGCGGCCGCCGCTGAGGACGACACTAGTGACCGACGATGCCGACTAAGATGCCTGTAAACCGTCCCTGAATGTTTTCATCAAAGCTTCAAGATTGAAGGAAATCCTGATAATGACAAAGCATCTTTTAAATTCTTACTGAATTTTATCACGCTTAGGTTTCGCCATGATTCTCAAAACATGGTACTACTACTACTACTACTACTCGCCTAGCGGGACTCCAATTGTGGACGTTTAACGGCCCTAACCTCGTTGGTGCGTACATCCCATCTTTTATTTCGAACTGAACGAGTTTTATCGAATGAGAAGTGCTACAAAAAAACATAAAGAAAAAGTTTTAAGCAGGAAGAAACTCAAAAGTGTCATGCAGTATCGGTTCAGATTAAAAAATATGGTTTGGCAGATGGAAGACTAATACTAAAATCCATTCGAATATCATGAGCATTGAGTGGTTGATAAATGGCATGCTCCAAAAATATAGACAAGACACACAACACAAATTCATATGACCAGGTTAGTAGCGGTTAATTTTTTCGAAAATGTTAATGTGAATAAGTTAACGTGAAGGAATGAAAGAATGGTTTATTGGAATACGAGCTTACTCCTTTGCAGCTGAAAGAGTAGAGATATAATGATAGTTTTAAAGACAAGGCATAAAAGTTTTTCAAGAAGCCAGATATCTAAAATATCAAGTGGTCTACAGTGAGGGCTATCGGCAACATTCTAAGTGAGGAAATTCAACTCCCATCCTCAGAAGCGTTGCTCACGTCCCAACAAAGTAACCACAACTTTCAAAACGGGACAAATAATTTGCACTCAATTGACAATTGTGAACAAAACAAAACAGTCAGCCTAAATCATGAAATATCATTCAAGGAGTGATAAAGCAGTTTTTCCACAAACTAATTCTCAATTGGACATATGCCGCATTGGCGACCCAAACTGGTCCGTGCACAACGTGAAGATGTTACCAGCGTAACACTGAAATTCACGTCAAGCCTCTCCAACATCATATTTATAATGGGGTTGTCGATGTGACAAACATGTATTTGATATGGCACTACTATACATTTGGTAGGAATGAATTCGTAACTTGGCCTCACTGGAAACCAAAGAATCAAGTAGTTGTAATTGAGGGTTGTAGTTAACTGTTGACTGTTGGATTGTCCAACCGCCCTGAAACTACCATGAATCTCTACTTATCTTTCGTGTGTCTCGACATGATAGACAATGTTAGAACAAGCAACCGATGGTACAGTTGTGTTTCGCTAATACAATTGACGCTGGTATTTATTTACTGTCACATTAGTTTTGGAGAGTATCAGGTACTCTGGATTAAGTTCTGTTAAATCGAAGGTATAAAGAACAAGATGAAGTTACTCTTATTTTTATCGCGGTCTGCTAGTGCAGGATATAAATCGTGTGATCAATTTTTCGCAACTTGATAATGCCTGCTGGAGTGCTCTATCTT